TATAGTATATAAGGTGCCAGGTATGTTAACAAATGAGATTTTATTATTTGCCTAGTTAAATGCCACCGTACGAGGATAAATAACAGCGTGAATTGACATGTAAGTGATATGTACCCAACTAAGGTAGAAACAGAAGGTTTCATTGGAACCCCGGAATTGGCCGTTTTGGATAATGATATCTATAAACCCGTATCCAGACTAGTAAGAGAAGCATACGCTGTATCGCACCCTAGACCATTTACCTCTGGTCAGCCAATATAATGATTGGGCATTTCCGTGAGATTTTACGCTATAGAAGGGTTACGCGGAATTTTAGATGTCTCATATAATGAAGATTTTTAGTAATCGTTGCTGATAAAGGAGTGTAAAAAAAGAAGCGTGGGGTATGGTGGACGGTTAAGACATTTGTGCCAAAATCAAGAAAATGGGTCGGAACTTTTTAAAAAAGGTAATATAACAGGTGCATAGTATATTATACGGATATATATAAAGTAAAATATATAATTTTTTCATTATTTTATATTAAATAAGCATAATTCGGCTAATTAAATTAAAAGATGTAATTATTAATTTAATTTTTAATTATTTTATATACATTATATATAATATATTTAAATAATTTTTTAAAAATAATAATTTTAACGTTATAATTAATATTATTTTATAATTTTAATTAATATAAAAACAATAATTTAAATTATATTTAAATCGGCTTTTTAATTATTATATTATAATAAAATTAAATAACGTTTATTTAAAAAAATAAACACGTAATATTTTTTAAAAACATTTTAATTATTTTAAATAAACTTTAAATATTTTAATAATAATATAATATTTAATATATATCGTATAAACATATAATTTAATTTATTATTTTTACATTAATTAAAGTTATAAAATAATATTAATTATAACGTTTAAATTATTATTTTTAAAAAGTTATTTAAATATATTATATATAATATATATAAAATAATTAAATAATAAAATCTTTTAATTAATTTAATTAATTTACTTTAAAAATTAATAATAAAAATAATTTAAATAATAAAACTTATATAATTACATATATATAATTATATAACTTTTTAATATTTTTATTAATATTAAATTAAATTATATATAATTTAAATTATAAATTTCGTTATTTTTTAATTAAAATAATAACATTTTTTAAAAAACATTTAAATAAATATTTATAAAATTATTATAATATAAAGTTAAAAAAAAATATATATTATTTTAATTATATATATAAAACAAATAATTAAGTTTATATTATACTTTTAATATTATTATTACCGTATTAAACATAATGCCACCGACTTTTTCGATTTTAACACAAATGTTTTAACCGTCCATTATATAAGGTTTAAATTAACGATGTAATTTTATACTTATCGCGATCGTCGTTTATTTTAGTTTTTAAACTTAAATTTATTAAAACGGGTTACGCCCGTTTACGCCACGAAACGTATGGCTTATATGTTTATATTTATAAAACATATATATAAATTTTAATAAATTTAAGTTTAAAACTTGTTTAAACCTAAATATTACTTATTTTTTAATTTAATAATAAATAATAAAAAATTATATTTATAATAATTTAATATATTATAAAAATATATAAAATAATTTTAATTAAAATAATTTAAAGTTAATAATATATTTAATTTATTTTTTTAGTTTTTTTATATATACGTACGACGTTATATTTTTATATATTAAATTAAAATGTTAAAAAAAACTTAATTTTTAAAATATTATAATTAATATTATATATATAAAATAATATTTTTTATTTTAATTATAATTTTATAATATTATTATTTAAACTTTTTTACTTTTTTATTTTATATATTTATATAATATTACTTTTTTATATATTATAACCGATATTATATCCGGTATTATAATTAATATTAACCATTTTTATTAATATTATAATAACATTTATAATTACGTATAAAATATTTTAAAAGTTATTATTTAATTATTTAAACTTTTTTAACTTTTTTTATATTTATATAATTTTATTATATATTATAATTACCGCGTTATAATTAATATTATAACCGGTGTTATAACCGGTATTATAACTATTTTTAACGCTTTAAAAAATTTAAAACGCGTAAATTTAATTAATAAATTTAATAATAAAATTAATATAATTATATAATTAATTATTATTTATTATATAAATATAAAAACGCGTTAATATTATTATTTTTAATAATTTTATTAATTTAATAATATTTTTCGAAAATAAAATCGATTTTTAATAAAAATATGTTTAAAATGACCTTAAACCAAAGTTTTGATATTTTTTAAAAGGGGTTGTACGGGTTGTAATTGGTTAAAGGGGTGGTGTGGCTGGGGGGGTATAACCTTACGAACCAAAAAAAATCGAAACTCTGGTCTGAGGTCACCTGAGATAAATCGTCGCTGTAGTCTCCCGTTTTTTTAATGCAGCATGCAGTAAACAAGATTTGGAATTTTCTAATCGGGATTTCACAGTTATTCTTTGCGCGATTGCACAATTCCTCCGAAATGAAATGTCGCACGAGATAAATCGGCGCATAATACTAATACAAGAAGGTTGCAGAGGCTCGCACGACTCTATCTGCATTATATCTGCCGGGCTGTACAGGTTACTATACTATTGTAGTATAGCTTAGCTCGCGTAATATATCTATACCTAGCTCTATTATGCAGCATGTAGGTATCTATCTGGGGTACCAAGGTAGGATAGACTGTCTCTGTGTGACCACCCTTATCCTTCAATGATCGTCTGGAAAGATAAAGTAAATACATATGAGTCGCTTCGACCGGAAAGCTCAAACTTAATTCTTCTCTACGGTTTAGATCCGTATAGTAACCCATCATAATGGCCACTAACCCCCCAGCAAATCTTGCCCTCGACGGCGGCGACCCTCGAAAGCCATCCTTACAGGTAGGAGACGGCATAAGCGGCACCGCAAGTATAGAGTACACCAATAATCAAGAAGTCAGCTTCGAAGAATATATGTACCATGCCGCGATCACGCGGGCCCAGGAAAAAGAAGCCAATGCTAGATATATAGCCGCTCGTGGTCCGCAGACATTCAAAAGCGTGATTAAGGGAAGATTCTCTAAAGGCCACATGGAACAAGACGCATACGCCGAAGTAGTTGGGTCGATTTCCAGAGAAACTGACGAGAAAGGCCATGGCAATGATGCGCTCCAAGTTACCGGAAACGGTAGCACCGAAAATTACGGGATCACGGAAGCTCAACGCCAGACTGCTAATCGAGCATTGAGGACGGCAAGTTGGGGTACCGTCTTCTATCTTATTACGACCGACATATTGGGTCCAGCGGGAGCCCCGTGAGTTACTACGCATTGCATGATGGGAATCGAAGCTGAGTTCCTTCCAGCTGGGCGTTTGCGCAACTAGGCTACGGCCCGGGTGTTGCGCTGTATACTGTATTCGGCGCCATGTCGTATTAGTGAGTTGAAACATATTAGAACTCGCTACACTTCACCGTGTCTGACGCTTTGGTACTTCAGCTCTGGTTGGATCCTTTGGAAGGTCTTCTGCGGGTTAGACTCTGACAGATATCCCATCAGAGGATACGGCGACTTCTTCTTTCGCATGTTCGGGTCCTGGGCCCGTCACTTCGTCAACCTCGCTCAGGCGCTTCAACTGCTGCTAACCGTATCGGTTATCATTCTGAGCAACGGGCAGAGTATCTCGCAAATTAGCCGCGGCTCATCTGGAGAGAGCCTGGGGATTTGCTTTGTGGCGTGTATGATTATATTTATGGCTGCTGGCTTCGTCTTGGGTCAGATCAGAACTCTCCAACGGCTCGGTTGGCTTGCGAATCTTTCCGTCTGGCTAAACGTCACACTTGTATTACTATGGTAAGAAGCACTTGAAACTAGTATGGCATTGCCCCTACTCACCAGACTGAAAGCATGGCATCCGTGGTATACGGTCCGAACTATGCCGCAGTGGAAGCGAGCTTCGGCTTGTCGCCGGGTATGCCGATTCGAACGTATGCCGGGACGCCACCTCCGGGAATGGCTACAGGTGGCGTAGGATTCGTCGCTTCTTTAAACGGTTTAAATGTAGCCGTGTATGCATACGGGGGAGCATTGCTGTTTGCAGCTCTCTTAGCCGAGATGAGGTATCTCCCTTTTATAAATCAGGCAGCAGCCCAGAATTACGATGGTTATGCTAACGCCGGCTAGACACCCCTTGGATTTCTGGAAGAGTCTGCTCGTCGCTGAGATATTCATCTACGGGATGTATATCTTCTTTGGGATTTTCATATATTCGTACCAGGGTCAGTATACATATAACCCATCAGTCCAAGGTATTGCGGCGTACGGCATGCAGACGGCTGGAAATGTATTGAGCTTGGTTAGCAACCTTATCGCGGCCGTGCTATACAGCAATATCGGTCTCAAGGTTGTCTATATAGAAGTGTTCCATGAGCTCCTAGGATTTCCAGAGTTGACAACTAGGACGGGTAAGATATGGTGGGCCGCACTAATTCCGTTATACTGGGCGATTGCATTTATCGTAGCAGCGGCCGTACCGCAGTTTTCGTACATCGTCGGTCTGGTCGGCGCGCTCTTCATCCTATCCTTCACTTACACCTTCCCAGCCTGGCTAGCCGTCGGTTATTGGGTTAAAAAGGACGCAATGATCGAGGGCGAGGAACGATTCGACCCAGCGACTGGTACGTACAACTACGTGGATCATGGGTTGAAGCGATGGAGACGAGGATTTATGAGAAAACCTTTCTTCAACGCATTCAACATATTTTACTTCCTCGGCGCGTTGGTAACATGTGCACTGGGCTGCTATAGCAGCATTGAGAGTCTGCGCCAGGCATTCCAGAGCAACATTGCCACCAGTTTATCATGTACACCTCCGCTTTAAAGGCACACGCGAGTAGAAGCTGGTGTTCTTATGTCACAATTGGGGGGGACAAGGGATGCGTCATGATAAAGTGATGCCGTTAATAAATGCCTGCCGTGTATCATAACTTCATATCTTCTCTAAATGTATTCTGAGTTCAACATACCAAACAACTCCTGGTTACATGTATGAAATATCAACCATCCTTTCTAATGAGTTAGGCGTTTGAGAACTGGCTTCACCGGTGGCTAGGCTGAAGCGACTCACTAAGTTTGATATCTCCTAATATACTACCGGAGTATGCGTGGCGAAAAACTCTGCTGGAAGGCAGTCCTGTACTATAGTATCGGCAAGTAATAAGGAATCTATGGAACCCCCTAAGGTCATACTATCGGGTTAGATATGCTGCGAAGTGGCTTTAGCGATCGTATCATAGGCTCCAGCAAGCCAAACACAGACGATTTCCGCCGTGACAGAGTAGCTTTATGTCAGTTGCCGAACGTCCTTGTAATGTGACAATTCCGGCAACCGAAACGAGCCACAAGTCCTCCTAAACTGAGTTTCCGGCGCTGCCCACTGGATTCTAGTCGACTGGCGTATCTTTCACCGCCTAGTTGTGCACGATATATTTTTTCATGGCCATCAATATGGTCATTGCCGTTCTCAATGCTGTTCACTTCTTAGGACGGCGAATTGTCGTATCGCGAATTTGATTACGGAGTTCGTCGGTGAAGTGGGACATAAACCCGCTCAACCTGGAGTTCGTAGGGCGCCCTACTCGTATCCTATCAGATCATGTAATGCCGCTATTGAGCTATAATAACACTTACGAGTAGCTTCTCCTTCTCGCATGGGCTCACTCGGGTCTCGTCCGTATTTATAGTCCTCTACGGTTTTGTGGATGCGTCGAACGCCTCGCTGGAACGTTGAGGACCGTAGAAGCTAGGAAACGAGGTATGTTAGGATGCTAGGTGTCTAGCCTAACTAATTCTATTATTACATGGACCGGCTAGAGTATACCTTTCCGACAATATAGTCCTGTAGACAGATATCAGTGCTGCTCATTAGTGTCACGGAACATATTGACTTGCCTCCATGACGAACAGCCAAGACGCCCACCCCATTGTTGAAATTTAATGAGGAGAAGTTTTATAAAATGGAAATATGGATCTAGCAACTACCTAGGGTAGGCATTAGATAGGTGATGGGTAATGTGGGAATAGTACTGTAATTGTTGTAATAATTGGGAAGTTGAGGTAGCACCTAATTTCATTAATAATAAAGAGATACAGTACGAAGTACCTAGAAAGTTAGATCTTGCGGATCTTGAGAAACCACCGAGATTCAACCCCACTTGCTAATTAGGGCAATCCATAAGTCCGTAATCTATGGCGAACGAATTGTTATCTGCATGTGCTATTCCAATCTTATGCTGCAAATCAACTTGGAGCCAATGTACCTGGGTTAGAGTCTTTAGAATTGGTGTTCAATTCTTAAAACTTCATAAACACCCTCACTAGATTATCTTTAGTCAGTTAAGTAGGTAGGTACTTAAATTTAGAAACGAGGTAGAACGTTAGATCCATAACATCTAATGCCTGGCCTGTCTAATCCTTCTTTATACCTATGCGCTTGTTGACATATCAAAGGATAAATCACTAGCATACTATACTAATACATCGTAGATAATTTGTAGATTAGTACCTGACCTATCCGTAAATATTTCCGAATTGATGGTTTACCCAACCTCTGGCACTTGGTAGCCAATGAGATGAATAGTCCAGAAAGACTAGAATTTCGGGTAAATACTTTAAGCACTTATCCAATAATGAAGAGCTATAAGATATGAGTCCTACTGTTATTATAGCTAGGAATCTCTCATCTTACATGTTAATACTGAGCAGGTTGAAAATGTAAGTAAAAGGAATCAAGTAATAAAGTCGGCAGTTTCTACTGCTATATGCACTACATATCATCTGATATATTTCCAGGAGATCCATTAGTTAGTACGCACACTGACCTTTTACTACATGTATTCAAACTTCATAATTTATTATAATTGGCCTGCCGGCCCGTAACTTTAATATTCGTATCAAGCTCGAGATTTGTTTCCTACATGTATGTAGCAAACTCCTTGGCGTATAAGTGAAGTGTACATGCATGCCGTACCAAGCTAATGTAAAGGCGGAACATCTAAGACGTCGGGGGTTAGCCACATGTAGGAGTACTTACGTCCTTAGGGATTATTGGGCAATTGAAATGTACACCGGATACCTGTGGATCCTCCCGCTGGTGTCCTAGCAACGCAGGACAGGGGACATTTAAGCGCTAAGATAACGGTCCAACCGACGTACGGTGTATGTACCATGGCAAGAGAGGACCGAGCGGTGACTTCTGAGCGTCAGTGTAACTTGTAAGAGGTATGTAAGAAGGGGGAAGGACAAAAGAAGAAGAGAAAAAAAAAAAGCTATGAAATTGGAACTTTCAAGTTGAAAGGCCCCATTGTGATTTTTACTTTTGCATCCCACTCCTGAATCTGTCTGACACTTTTAAAAGGTACCCCTTAGTTGAAAGTAGAAGTAGAGGAAAGAAACAAGCAGTAGCGACAGCAATAGCATCCCTCTAGTTTTTTTTTGGTTACTTATCGATATCAGAAGATTTCGGCCTCGCAGTTTATTCTGAACCTGTCATCTTTAAACGCTTTCGCATCTCCTTAACTCAAAACCTACCTCATACATAGGTTAGGTACATATGTCTATACTGTCAACACCACCCATGTGACATTGCTCCGAGCCGCCAGCGTGTTATCCTTACACTGTATGCTGACGGCATTGGCTAACCATAATTACAATATTACATATCCCCATTTTACCTACTCCTAGGTCGATGGTACCGCTATCGGGTTTGGACTTGGATGTGCCCGCCCTGAGACCGAATCCCAGCCGAGTCTCTAGCTGCTGAAACCAAGTCGCTGAAACCATGGCCGAAGACTATAGTCGCATTGACCCGACCTCTGTCGACGCGACCGACGACGCGACCGGAGCACTTCCCGAGTCTAACCCTCAGGATCCCGTCACCGCTTCCGTAGACATTTCCACAGACACCCCCTTGTCTAAGAAGGAAAATCTCCCGCCTGTACTCCTTCGCACGCCACCAGATGATAGTAGCTTTGTCGATACTACACGGCTTGACCACGACGATAAGCATCTCGACTCGGTCACCGAAGAGCTGCAAGTCAGAGCTCATCTAGAAGATGTCGAATCTAGTTTTTTACCTCCTTTTTCGCCAACCCAACTCGCTAGCCCCGAGAAAGGTATCGACGACACATATCTATTCGATGCTACAAAGAAGAATCCTCCGGCATCCGCGCCTTTCTTGTCGCCTTCTTTTACTCCCGCCCCCGCATCCAACACAGTATCTCGACCCTCTCCACCCTCCGATTTGCACGACCAGCCCGATTCGCATCCTAATATACGCGCCGACTCGACCCCCGTTAAGATCGACCCTGACATAACAAGTCAGACACCAGACCACAGCCCCCTTCCCTTACGCGACCACGACGATTCCAATGCCGTCGAAATTGGCAATACTACCTCTGCGCTGGAGAACCTATCCTCTCCTACGACTGCTGCCGCGGCTCGCAGCGTATCGAGAGCTATATCCGTAGCTAGCAGACGTACCAACGAGGAGACACCGAGCGAAAATGACGATCGCGATGCTTTATCACACGGTAACTTGGCCCTTGGCGTACCGAGAGACAGCTCGCTTTCCAGAGCTTCGAGTCTCCACCAGCAAACCTCTGATCAGGACCTGAGTAAACTACCGGGCGACAATGGCAGTACACCGTCGATTTCTCTTCAGGTTGGCACACGTCCCAGGTTTCTTCGCAGTAGGCACGGTAGCCAGCGTTCTTCAACTTCGTCCTTCCTCAGTAATGAAGATATCGAAAGCGATGCTACGGTCGGATTAGGTGCTGACTATGCCCTCCAGTCCGGAGGTGCTTTGCCTGCTTTTGGCTTAACGCGGAGCGCCAGCAACACTCTATCTCGCTCCGTAAGTATCGGTAGTATGGCGTCCGGGTTTGACGAGTCTCCGGATCCCATTCGACCGGATGCTCTAGAGCCTCTGGAAGAAGTTGAGAGCCCTATGCCTGACCGTCGTATCGATCTGCTTGCAACTCCGAAGCCGAGGAAGGGCGCTCTAATGGCACCTACTGACACGGTCATTGCTAGACACGTCCGCAACGTGGAGGTACCCGAATCTCTAGCCAAGGAATATAAGACGAAAGGTGGCCTGGCAACACCGATACAACAGCCCTATAGGAAGGTGTCGAGTCTGTCTAGCTATACGCCCGCAAATACTACCACTACCACTACCACCAACACTCGTGGCGGCAAAAATCTTACTCTTAAAGAACAGTCTAGCACGATTGAGCGCCTGTCTAAGGAAAACTTTGATCTTAAACTCAAGGTCATGTTCCTTTCTGATCGTCTTGACAAACTCTCCGAAGAAGGTGTTAAGGAAATGATCTCGGAGAATGTTGAGCTCAGGACGTCATTAGCCGTTATTCAGCGAGACAATAAGATCCTTAGGCGGCGGGTAAAAGAGTTAGAAAAGCGTCTTCGCGACGAGGAGGACCGACCAAGCACTGCGAGGAGCGGATATTCCTCGGACGGGCCAACGACCCCGGCTTTCGATCCTGATGCTCAAGAACGGGAAGAGGAGCTATTGTATCTGAGGGAGCGCGTCGAGGAATATGTAACCGAGATAGAGAGGCTCAGAAATGAGAACATGGCTAGCCAGGCCGAAAAAAGGAAACTAGCCGAAACGGTTAAGTCTATGGGAGATCGCGCCGGCGAGCGCGTCGGCGAAAGTCTGGGTCGCCAGGAGGAAGCTGACGTATACAAGGATCTCCTCGAACAAGAAACGGCTCGTCGCGAGCAGGCAGACGATGATAACCGGAGACTGCGAGATGAGTTATTCCGGATAAAACAGGAGATTAATGGAACGGCTGCCCCAGGCGGTGGCATGCACCACACAACAAATATATATAATATCACGCGGAAGGCTAAGCCAACATCGCCATCAAGATCGCGTCCCGTCTCTGGCCTGTCCGGGGAGATAGATCCTACCACCGCGTCTAGCCAGTCAGCAACCCTGGTCGATGAACTTCGCAGAGAAAGTGAACAGCTACGTCACGAGAACGCTGAGCTGCGGAGAGAAGTCGGCGCGCAGACTTCCATGTTGACATCCCGTAACCGCGAGAAGGAGAGGCTTTACCAGGAGATCGAAGACCTCAAGCTAGCTCAACGTCGCGGAGGTCCAGCAACTTCAACTATCGATAGCCTCCTTGACCGATCGGCGTCGCGTGTGGGCGGTCATGAACGCTCGGCTTCCCGGGGGAGTGGCCGTACGAGACTCACTATGACGGTAGAAGAGGATCCCGATCGTGAAGAATTAGAAAATAAGCTTGCCGAGCACCGCGACAGGATTAACGAGCTCAAGTTTGAAAAGCAAGAGCTCCAGCGCGAATTACAGACGTGTATGCAGGAGTTGGATAATATCAGCGAGTCTAAGAGACAGCTTGAAGACCACAATGGGGCTCTAGAAGAGGAACTCCAAAACACGACGAATGATTTGTTACAGATACAAGGGGAGCGGGATGAAGTTCTACAGGAGCACTCTGACCTCCAAGCTGAATTTGACATTCTACGGAAAGAGGCCCAAGAGGAAATCGATTCCTTGGAGGCCGAGAGTGACCAGAAGACCGAAGAGATCCAGCGGTTGCAGATTGAGCTGCAAGACCGATCAGAGAATTTCGACGCCCTTCAGGAGGAGATGCGCCAGATGAGCGAGGCATTGATAAGACTAGAGGATGAGCAGGAGAAGAAACTAAGAAGAATAGAACAGCTAGAGCAGGAACTTGCCGAGTCTAACAGGGAATCCGAAGATCTCGAGGTTAAACTTCTCGAGTCGAACGATAAGGCGCAGCGTCTCGGGGTTCAGCAGGAATCTAGCCAGGGCGAGATCGCATTTTTACGCGAGGAGCAAGAAGCGGATAAGATTCGAATAGGCGATCTCGAAGCAGCGCTTGCTAATGCCGAGCAGGGTCTTAGAGAGGAGCGCGATCGGACTAAGGAGTTGGAGCAGCGGCTGGCCAACGAGCGGAAGCAGCGCGAGATCGTAGCGGGACGCGAGAAGGAAGAGGTTCAGCAATTCGTTAACGAGCTTAATCGCGAAGTTTCAACCGCTAAAGACGAGGCTAGGCGGCTCCGTAAGAGCTT